TCACACTTAGTGACTCATGACCATAAGGTTGTAATAAGAGGGATTAAACAAATGGTGCAGGCAACTCACTCCTAATACGACCAGATTCATGCAGCAATTATCTTTCATCAGCTGTTTTTCTATCAGTGTGAGGTGTTATACACCAGCAGCTGTGTTACACTGTCTCCCAAGTCTCAAATTTAGCTCTTCATATTACACAGCACGTGTTGCTCTCATGTTCCTGCAGTAGAAACATTGATTCATGTGGTTGTTTTCATATTCACAGTTTTAAAGGAACACATTTGAACACACTGTGATGGAGGTTTTCTGGAAGCTGGTGAAAGGAGAACTCAGGCAGCAGCTGATGTCTTATGCAGAAGATTTTAATGTAGACTCGATGCATCAAGGAGACCAGAAGGTGAAACAATATACAAACAGAGTAACAAGAGCAGTTGTCACCCCCCAGTCTGAAGATGTCTCCCACAGCATCCCAGTATATCTCCTTTACCCTGGGTCTTCCATTCCAACAGCAAATCAATAGCAGGCTATTATTGCTGTGACTCTCTATGTTACATGTAGGTGTTCACATACTATTGGATATTTAAACCTAAACTAAAGTGTGCATTCCTTAATGACGTTCTTTCCTAACGTCTATTTTTTTTATGTATCTGTACTTCACTTGTGTAGTGTTGTTTTCAAGTAGTACATTTTACTCCATAAATAAGCAAATGTATTTCTACTCCACTACATTGTTTGCAATGGATTGGGTTACATGCAGTAATCAGTAACAAGAATGGAGTGATGCACTGATCCAATCAGCGCAGGCAGGTAACACTAGACTCCGCCTTCTGCAGCAGCATTTCATCGGTCTTGGATTCGTGCTAAGTTTGAACTATTTCAGGAGACTCTGTGACATTTACTGGATTGACTATATAAACACTTTGCTCTCCTGAGTATCAAAATAACTGCAGTATGAGAAATATGGTCTTTGCTGAGATATCATGATTTATCATTATATTCTAAGTACCATCACATCACTAATTCTTTACAGTGGTCATGCTCAGACAAAATACCAATGCACTGCTTTACTGATGGGATCCCAGGACACCTGACAGTGTGTTCAAATAACCATAATTTTGGTGCTGAATTCATTACAGAGCTGCACTCACACCAGTGATTGAATGTTGAGGTGGAGCCGCTACATGTTAACCAGACACATGAGGGTGAGATGAATCCTGTAAATCACAGGAGGAAAGTGAATGTGTTCTCCTGTGTCGAGTTCTGCTTCGCATGGCTCTTTTCTTCATGTGCCCCGACGGTGGCAGCCATGTATTAAGGATGATAAATAACTAATCAATTTCTCCTTTCAACCAAATCCAGCACCAGGAGAAGCGAGGCAAGTGTCCATTCATCGCTGTCACATACTGTAACTGAGGTCCCATCACAGCGGCCGACTCCAGCCATGTGTCATTAAACATCTCACTTTGTTTTCATTTCTGGTTTCAATCCTTTGTTTTTTTTGGTGTCTGTTTTTGTGCCTCGTGCTGGACACACGGACTTGGGCCCACACTCGGCCCAACCAACTTGGCAGGACGGAGGCGGCAGCTGCGCACTTTACCAGCACTGGTGACCAAAATCAGCAGAAGCATGGCTGCCAATGGTGTCATCGATTTCTGCTGAGGCTCTGAGGTGCACCGGGCCTGGACGTGCTCCCAGGTCACAGCTCAACAGCGGCGCCCCCTCTGGTTTCCCTTTCACAGCAGACTGAGCTGGGGAGCCCGGTGCCAGGTGGTCTGTGGGAGGCTCCCTGCCCAGATTCTCCATCAAATTGAGGTGTGGTAATTAGACAGGGGGAATGCCAAGCCACAGGTGCCTATTTATTATTGGATAGTTTGATTCTAAAGTGTCCCACAGCCACAGGTCTCCTCTCCTCTTTATCACACATGACTTTACGCTTACATTTTTTTAGCATATCCCTCCCATTAGAAGGACTCAGTTCATTCATCTCTAGGCATCGGCTTAACGCATCCTCCCCAAGTCCTGCCGGCCTCATTGTTGTGCTTGGGACAGTGATTACTCGAGAGGCTATGGATTAATCAGACTGTGGAGAGCACATTGATCTTCAGTCCAATCCATCTTCCATTGGCTTCTGCATCGATGGAGGGGGAGAGGTGCAGCATGGAAATCAATCCTGTAAGGTCAGGGGTCCCCGTTTGGGAAACAGGTTATAATAGAGGTGCCTTTTTACACAGAAACATCAAATGTCCCCGATTGAGGATGACACCATCTGATCATAACCACGCCCCCTGGCAAAGCAATTTACAAAAGCATGCCTTCTCAGATTTTATAATGTCTTCAATGTAAAAAACCTACAATGGTGAGCGGTTATTTCTAACAGCATCCCTTCCTCCTCTCCAGGAAAGAGAATCAGAGACTAGCCACAGCCATAAATCACCATGTGAACAGCTGATATATGTGAATCCAACTCTACTGTTTTTTCGGGGCACTTCACGTTATTCTCGTTTTTAGTTATAACCTCTGCAGTCTGAAATATAAACGTCTTTGAAGGGAACCACACAACTAGACAGTGATTTATTACACAGGAAAACAAGCCCGCTGTGACTCAGCTGGCAACGCTAAGCAGATGTAAAGGTGGAATATAACCAATTATTTTATTGACTGATCTCAAGTTTCACCTCACACAGTCTCGCTCACGTCACAGACCGTGTGCTGGGCCCTATAGTAGAGCGCGTATATACTGGGCAGCAGCTCACGATTCTGTGTGTGTGCTGTGCATCCTGCTGCAAACACACACAGATGAATATTGATGAAACAGCTCCATCTGACCAAAAAGGGATAAATGAAGCGTGCCGCACAGTGAACGAGGCTCATTCTGTGCATGGTTTTCTTCATGACAATTTGAAATTTTGTTGTAGGTTGCGTGTGTGAATACGACGGAAGCTGCAGCGGCTGGTCCTGTAGCAACAATACAGTTTTAATCCAATTCCATGCAGAGACGCAGGACGGCTGCAAACGCACAAGTGTAAATAGATTAAGACCTGGAAAGAATGCACTTGTAGGTGTATTAGCATATTGATGAGAAACTCTTTCCAGATGGAAACATGCACATGTGTATGAATGGGTTAGTGTGCGTGGTCCAGTTATGTGCAGTGTTGCTTTGAAGAGATGTGGGTGAAAAAGAGGATATTCTGCAGAAACATCTTTGTTTGTTTCCTTCCTTTTCCAATGCTAGGTCATTTAGTTTGGGATCTTTATCTTGGAAGTTAAACCCATGGCAACAACCATGATTGTATCCGCTATTGTTATAACATCAGAATCAGGTAAACACATCAAATCCTCAACTGGATTTTCTGATGTTGAACGTGTTTCCAAAACAACATCTGAAAATGTGGGTGTGGTGTTTTGATAGTATGTTTAAAGGACGACATAATGTGAACGGCCTGGTGCGGTGAAAGCAAGAAAACGGGTCTTGATTTGGGTTGTAGGATGGAGCTTCAGTTTCCTGCCTGACCCACAGCACTGTTGCATACATACGTGAGGAAGAGGAGGAGGAGAAGCAGAAAGGCTGGTCTCAGCAGGGCTCAACGTGTGACTGACACCTCTCTCCTCTTTGTCTTTGCCACTCCAATTAGCTCGGTGATGGGAGTGTGTGTGTGTGTGTGTGTGTGTGTGTGTGTGTGTGTGTGGAGAAACTAGACAATCAATTACCGTCCCCTCTCTTCTCCCCACAGATCCCCTCTTCATCTTCCACACGTCTTTATCACACCCCATCCCTCACCTCTTCCTTTCTTTAATTTATGGTCTTCTCTCCCTCTGTTTTTTTAAAATACATTTTCCTTACCATGTCCATCCTCCTCCAACAGTGTCCTCACACAATCTTTTCTCCTCTCTGTGTTTCACTGCAGCAGTCAGGGTGACAGTGAGAGGAAAGGAGGGAACATGTCAGTGGGAACTGTGAGGCTTCCTCCTGCGTTTCACTCACACACTTACACACTGAGCAAAAATCCCTGCCAGGCATGACACTGCTGTGTCTCCACTTCTGCAGGTAAAGGCAGAGTTGATGCTGCACAGTAACCTTGGAGGGGCTTCCTGACCATTGTCTCATTGAGGAGGCAAAACAGACACAATGCTAGAGTCAAATATAAATGGAGAATCAGCAGGTTATTTACAACACTGATGTCACTGCAGGTTTCAGGGTGGGTCCTCTTCACCGTGCTGTTTAATGGTGGAAGTTTGCCACCTGCTGGAAATAATCATCACCTTCTGTGGTGTCCTTGATCAAACCTCTCTGGTGGTTTCCCTTTAATGAAACGACTCTGCCCCACTCTGACATTTAGCTCCGCTCAAACGTCCACAGGAGCCGTCTCTCTCTGTTAAGGTCAAAAGTAAATTCTTTCGCCTGATGACGAGGATCAAATTAAAATGGTCTAAAAATGTCTCGCAAATTTTCAACCCTGGTCTCAATTTTGAAAAGTCTTCAGGCGAAAAAAACACGTGCCATTCACTTTTGGTTCTCACAAACAAGAGATCGTGTCTCAGACGCCCTGTAGCCATGAACAACACTGAGTCCTGCAGTGCAAGAGGCAGTCATACATAACGTCCTGTCAAAGTGCTCCTGCACTGTACTGAAGAGATACTGTAGTTCCTTCACTTACACAGTAAACATCCAATTCAAAATAGAATACGGCCTTCTCTTTACTCTGTTTTCAATTTCAGCATGTTTCACTCAAACTGAATCAATATTTGAATTACTGGTCTCCAGTATATTGATCTGCAACGACGTGTTAACATTGGGCTGATTGTGTAATTGTAACTGAATTCTGAAATCAGGCGTGATACAGTCCATACAATGGACAACCCAGACAACCCATCCACTGGCTATTGCAGGGACAGAGGCATAAACAAACATCATCTCTCCATCTCTGAAACTATCATTAAAAACGGACTCAGTTTCATATTAAATCGTTTCTTGAAAATGTCAAACAGGCTAGGTTTTCCTTTTTCAATGTGTCATGGCACCATTTATTTATTAAAGTTATGCATAACCTTCCAACTTGATCATTGTACAGTATATGTTGAACTTCATGACATTGTTAGAATATCAGGCAGTCAGATCAGAACAGCCAACAGTAGCAGAGAGAAGCAGCATTTCTGTCAGAAGCTAATACAGAGAGAGCATGACCGCTCCTTGCAGAAGAGAGGGGAGGGGAGAACGGGGGCAAGATCCCCAAAGGGAAGATGAGAAAGCATGACATATAGAGTGCAGCAGGGGATAAAGAAGCATGAACGCCACCGGGCTGCAAGGAAAAAAAAAAAAGAAGGATGACACCTGTAAGTGTTCAAAAGGAAAAAGAAGGAGAAGAGTCACACGCAGAGGAGTAGAGGAGTAGACAGGAGGAAAAAATAGCCCTCACGGCGAGGAGGAGGAGGCACAGAAATGCAACAGGACCAGATCAGAGCCGCGAGACTCTTCATTCTAGTGAACACCACAAATAGAATTTATCTAAAATTCTAGTCTTTTAACACAGTTCAAGAGTTTCAACACAATGGGATCTATCCATCACCAGTGCAACTCCGGCCTCTATCAGTCTGAATATACTCCTGCCACTTCATCAGGACTACGCTCGGCTGATGCTCGCGTGCACTCATCACTCGCACAAAGCCTGTGTGACTGAAGCAGGGAGGAGCAGCCAAAAAGGTAACACCATGGCCAAAAGCATGCAAGCAATGTGGAAACACTTTTTTTAAAAAATGAAAAGAAAGAAAATAAATACATCTTGGGATAAAAAAAATCTTAATACATTATCTTAAAATTTTCCTTTTCTTGTTTTGTGTTTCATATATATATATTCTAAACACACATCTTTGTACATTTTGGTATAAGTTCTCTTTCTTGCAGGGAGTTCAGGGGGAAACGGGTGTTAGATGGTCGAGGGATGAGGTTCTGGGGCAATCCCACTTCCCTGATTGCCTTGTGCTGATGGAGGGGGAAGGGGGGGTACGGCGTCGCTAAAGACACCACGTTTCTGCTCAAACTCAGTCTCTCATTCTCAGTGGCGACCGTGGGCGACGGCGATGGAAAGAAAAATAGGGGGACTCAGCAGTGAGAGGACAAGCTTATAGGAGGTCCAGAAAGTCCAGGACACGAGAAGTAAGAACAGACGACGAGTCAGGACTTCCTCTTTGGGACCAGAGCCAGAAGCTGTGGAGTGGACTTCCACTATCTCTTATCTGAGGGAAAGAAACATTGAAGCCAAGGATCAGATGATGGACAGATATAGGAAGTGTTAAGATCTAGTGATTCATGCTGACGATGAGATACCTTTGTTTCCATCCATGTCTGCTGCGGACCTTTCAGGCCTTTGGCGTATTAGATTATTGTACTTGGCCTCAACGTCCTGCAGGAAAAAATACAATCCACTGTAAGGACGCGCAGTAAAAATGATCACTATGTGTTTATATCATGGACTCGCTACATGTGATGAGGAGTAATTGTCAGATACCTTCAGATAGTTTAGGTTAGACTGAAGGTTTCTGAGGTGAGACAGGACTTGTCTGCTGAAAGAGGAGAGGCTGCCGGCCTGTGACGTTGAAGAAAACCTCAAGTTGATGCCGGAGTCCGTGGCGCAGCCTTGTGAGGTGCTCAGCTGCTTCCCTGTGGTTGATGCCAAGATGTCATCATCTGTGCTGCTCTCCCCCGGGCCACCGTAACCCTCCAGGACTAAGTATCCTGCTGAGAGAATCAAAAGAAGCCCTTTTATACTAATGTCATCAGGGTTGGGATCAGGAGGAGGACATGGAGCATGGAGAAACAAGTTCATAGCTACGGTGCAGTGTAGACGGCCCAGGCTCACCATAATCGTCAGGAGAGTCGAAGAAGCCTGTGTCCCCAGAACCCAGGTCCTGAGCTGGGTCCTCCGTCTGAGAGCTGTTCTTCTCAGAGCCGTTGTGGACCATCACTCGTGCGCGGCTGTCGATGGGTGTCCGCAGAGAAGTGGTCCTGAGGAGACGAGCCCCTGTGGAGCGTTTGCTTTGCTCTGCAGCCTCCTGGGACATCAGCTGGGTCACCAAAACCTGCTTTAATGCTGCCACTGACGGACAGAGGAGGGAACGAGTTAATGATTTAAAAAAACAAAAATCACATATAAACTATTCAAGGGTTTTGAGTTGTCTGTTTTGAACGCTTACGTGTTTTCAGAGCTTCGTCTGCTCTGGAGGGAAAAACGTTAAACGAGTCTCCTTCTCTGCCATCCTCAGCCGCTTGGTAAGGAAGCTCCGGGTCCACAAAACCTTCCTCCTCCTCCTCCTCAGCCTTCACACTCTCGAATGGATTATTACCAGGTAGAGAGCTCGGCAATGCGCTTCTAGGAGCCGGACTGCTCTCTTTATCTAACGAGGAACGATCACAGTTATCAGATTAGTTATAATTAGATGAGGATTGTCTACACAGTTGAGAAGCGTAGAATAATGAAGTAACAAGGAATGAATAAGTGAAGAAATGTGTGTAAATATGGCACCTGTTGACTGGGTGCTGCCAGTGGATGTGCGGTCTGCGTCTCGACTCAGCCTGGAAACACCTGCGGTAATGATCTCCATGTCTTCTCTCTCCCCACTGGCACACAAGCAATATCTTTTGTCAGTAACAAGCTCAAACCCTGAGAACCATCACATCCAATCAAATTATGAAAGATGATGAAGCAACGTACTCGCTCTGAGGTAACGGTATGATGCTGTGAGGTTTGACTTTCATGGCCTCGGCTCTCTGAATGATTAGTCGCTGCCACCTTTCGTTAAGGAAACAAAACAAATGTTAGATCACGATAATAATTGAATGAATCGATTAAAAGATGTTGTGTCTCACGTTATCTGATCTGCGACTGTGGGCGCCATCAGCTCATAGATCTGGGCTCCATTGTCTGACATGGACAGGACAAAAAAGGACTTGTTGTCTGGATGGGGAGAGAGTGGAGAGACGGTTTGAGGTGAGATTTATCAGCTTTACTCTACTATTTATGCACAAACTGTTTTCAGACCTGCACTGAACTCTGGAATATTTGTAAGTGAGAATGCAAATGTACAAATCAGTTGCTCCAGACATTCTCCAGAACATTTTCTGCCAGCCTGCTAGTAAAAAGTCCGGATAATGAGCCCATGTGAGAATACGGCACCAAAGTGGCGAGTGGGTGTGTTGATGACGTTTCTACATGGTGGATGCAAAATGAGATGATGTCAACTTGGGAGGACTAGATTTAAGAGCTTTTTGTGATGAGCTAGACAAGCTTTCTGCAGTTGAATTAATTTGACATGTCCTGCCGTCTGCATGCTCTACTCAGGTGCCACGCATTCGCCTGAATGTTCTGGACATTTTCCTGTTGTGAACGCGTCTGTCTCACACAATCTCCTGCTGTATTCTTTATTTGTGAAAGGCAAACTCTGCAAACTGTTCAGACTCAAATTTTCCAGAGATTTTTCTGAAAACAACTGCAGAAACATTTAAGAAAGCAAATGGAGGCTACTTTTGTGTCTTGTGAGAGATTGTTGTGTTAACGGACCTGTGGCCACAGAGCGCACCAGCACAGTGTTGAGTTTGATGATGGGGCTGAAGATATGTTTGGTATCTGCGGTGCCTGCCAGGTTTTTGCTGTGACACTTCAGGATCAGACGCTCATCTTGTTTCTGTAGCAGAACCAGGATGTCCTCCAGGAGGAGCGTGTACAGCTCTATAAAAGAGACAGACAACACGGTTATTTTCCATATTCACATACTGTATTCAACAATAATCAAAGTCTAATAAAGCACTGATTACAAACCAATAGTCTTGTCCTTGTTCACTTTCCACGACAGAGGTCCCTCGTGCACCAGTGTTCTCTTGGTAAGATCCAGGTTCTGAAGAAATAAGTGAAACATCATCTCACTGATTCATACTGGTCTATTTTTTTTATCTGGCAGAGATTTAAAACTGCATGTGTGGGTTTAAAAAGAGTGAGTACACCTTTACTGTAGATAAAAGGGTCATGTAGACATCTCACCTTTAGCTCCAGGATCACAGGGTTATCTGTCTGCTTTAGAGAGGACAGGTCCAGTCTTCTCTGATAGTCCTCCAGCCTCTGGAGGAGGGATGGAGAGAAAGAGACAGGAGAAAAAGGGATAAGTGAGTGCTTTTTTAAAAGGAAGCCACTGCCTGGGGAGTGAGGCGGCGGTGATAAAATAAACTTTGAGCCGAGCAGGAAAGAAGATGAGGACTTAGGATGAGACTGAAGGGGACGTAGAGAAAAGTCCTGAAATGGAAAGACATTTTCTTAAAGCACATACCTGCTTGTCCTCAGATTCCTTCACAGCCTGGTTGACGTGATTTAGGATCTTCCTACAGCAGTCTGCCGCCTGCTTTATTTTGTCCTTCTCCACTGTGTTGTCTGAAAGATATTTTATCAAATGAGAAGGCCTACTAACTTACCCAGCAGGGGTGTCTGGTAATTTCATATTTTCTCCCTCCATTAACAAACAATCATTCTCAAAAATGATGATAAAGCAGGGGGGCATTATGATCCTATAATAGCCAGTTATAATTTATCATTTGTGCGTTCTCTCTGTGTGAGACTCGAACCCCCGGACTAAAATGATGGACCAAATAATGGGCGATACATTCCTAAAATGTGCACTAATGCTCCAGGGCCATTAAAATGATAATCTGTTCATAAGTCTGCGTAATTCTCTAACGGTTGTCATGTAACCACTCAAGACCTTTTATTAAGACTTCATTTGGTTCATTTCTATCCACTTTTCTCAGGAGTTGATTTCCATTTTTGTTTCATATTACAATCAGTTTATAAAATCCAAACGAGCTATTGTTCCTGTATTAAGCATTTCCATGGTTACTTGCAACCTGAGTTTATTAACTCCAAGGATCTCATTGATTCAACGATATATTCAACAATATATCTTCAACATGTACAGCTAGAGTTACACTCAGAAGAGCCCATTCCTCTGCCATGTTCCCCTTACCAAACCACATTTAAAGTCACACGATCCAGATTTCTCTTTGGATCTATTCAGTTCCACACACTGCCTCCTAAATGTGTCTGATTTTCTTTTCATCAACATTCATGCATTATTCATTCAGAAATCTGTGTAAAAAATTTTTTTTAAAACACCCAATGTTAAAGAAAATAATACAGATTTAAAGATCAATTCCTTTATCCAGATCTGACCCAAAACAGACAGGGATGAACACACGACTTCCTCGGTGGGGGTAATAAGGATCCCTAAAAACATGTTAGCGCTCCCTAGTGGACAAAATATATGATGGAGGCACACTTTCTACATTAACTTGAATCTAGTTCAACTGACATAAATATCTGCAGTAAGCTAATATCAGCCAAAACACAGATCGTGGTTTATCGATTTAATTCTGGTGGCTATTATTGTGCGTTAATCACAATTCTCATGTCTACGATGTTCAACCATTATTCAGCATGACTAATATTTATCAGCTAGAATTTTTACTTTATCCAATCATCCCGTTTTGAAATCATTTACGACAACACATGCGGTGAATATACAGACTGATATATGCATGGTGGTCCGCAGGGCAACAGCACAGCACCTGTGTATTTGGAGATGTTTTCTAGTAGCAGAGGGTATTTGGTGAGTCGCTGCATCTCTACAGGAATGATGTCTTTAAGCTGCAGTCTGCGACACAGTCTGTTGCTCTCTGCCTCCTGCAAAAGCAATGAAGATTACAAGTTACACTTACACGGTCAGCTACCTGTGTAATCTAACAGGTATAGAGAGTGAATGAGCAACATTCACAGTTGAATTCTTTGAAAAGGACAGTTTTAAACTTTTTAAATCTTCTGTGCGACACAATTTGAGTATTTCATTCAGTCTAGAGCTGCCGAGAACCATTTTTCTTTAAACAATTATTTATTTATAATAATAATTTTGTGTAATATACAAGGATAACGTCAGTACCTGGATGAACGAGGTGAACCTTGAGTCTTTCTTCTGCTTGGTCTTAATGATCTCCAGAGCGAAAGGCTGGTTACTGCAGAATGTCCCCACCGCCTGCTTGATCTTCTCCTCTCCGCCACTGAACTGTAAACACCAGACCCAAGACGGGACAGAGTCGAGACAGACAGAGAAGAGAAATCAGACACTTGATTGCCCTGTGTCAGGGGGTGTGTAGTTGCCATGGAAATGCCTAGTACTTAACCATTATAATGAGCGGCACCTCCCAGGAGGGGGCCAGGCTTAAGTCCTCGTAGCAGGGGCAGCTTAAGTTTAAACGTAGACGAGAAGTTGAGACCCCCAGGGAACCGTTTACCCTACTTATCCCCAATAGAGACATTTCAGACATGGATGCCAACTGATATGTGGCTACCTCATATCTTATGTATCTCACCCGATACTGAGATGTCAGACACATTTAGGGCATCGTCTGACGTAACATTTACTGAGAAATGGGCTTCCATTTAATTTACTTGTTTCTGCTGTGATAATTCTTCTTGTTACTGACGAGGGCAGAGCAATTCTACTGTGCCATATTTAAGCTTTTGTCTATCAGGGTCTCGAGGTAGGATATAAGAGGTTGATTATGACAACATTGCCAATAACCCATTCTCTATCACATAAAAACTTGAAATGATTGTTTTCTTGTACATATGACATGTTAACAGATGTGAGGCTGAGGGAAGCAATCAATTGCCCATGTCATTTTCTTTACTCGCTATGAAGCAATTTTGGGCAACAGATCAATTTCTTTGTGCGCAATACATTTTTTTTCCTGCCACATCAGTCATCTTGAAATTCATTCAATATAGGAAGATGTTTGAAAGGGGGAAATACAATTTCAGCCTGAGAACTGTACTCACCCAGGAGAGCAAGTCGTCTCCTATCTGATCAATTACTGAGGACTCATTTCTCTTCCGCACGGCTGCCATTTGCTCCAGTATTGAAACTGAAATTCCAAGAAGAGACACCAAAGAACAGTCAGTGTGTGTGACAACATGTAAGGATGCTGTGTGTGTGCTTAATTTACATTCTGTCTTTTATTATTGTTGTCACTTTAAACATTAATCTAACCCTCGCTACCAGAAGCTGTTTTCAGACATGAACATGACTTTGTCTTTCACATATAAAAAACGCAGCAGGAGCTTGTTCCGTTCAGACACGATAAGAAATGACAATAGGAAAATGTTCGGAACATTCAGGTGAGGGTTGGTGTCAGGGTGGATCATGCAGGAGGCAGAACATTCCACTGTGGAAATCACATATTTTTTGTTAAAGATCATCAACACCGGCATCTGCCCTTATAACCAAGAGTTCTCAAATCTTGTTGTCTTTCCAAGTTGACATCTACAACTGCATGTTGGACACACTATACATTTTGTTTTCTTTTTCAGTTTTGCATCGATCACATTTTAGAAACATCCTCAACATTTTCCTGCTGTATTCTCAGATGGGCTTAATCCGACATTTTACAAGGGTGCTGGCAGGAAAGGTTCTGAAAAACGTCTGGAGCAAAAGACTTGGACATTTGCATTCTTATATACAGTCCCTCTTGAAAATTGCAGTATCATGTCCAGAGTTCAGTGCAGTTGAAAACAGTAATGCTTTTGAGTGTTTCACTGCTTCATACATTTTCAAACATGGGTAATACTTTTTGTTCAGGTTTTGTGTGTGTGTGTGTGTGTGTGTGTGTCTACCATGCAGCTGCAGAATCTCCTCCAGGTTGGTGAAGATGTTCTTGATGTCAGCAGGAGGCAGGATGCTCTCTTTTGAAAGCTTCTGGTAGAAAACGTGGTCCAAAACTCTCAGCATCCGCACATGTGCACGCTCCGTGTAAAACAGCTCTGCAGACAAAACGCAAGATGTAAATTCAAGATGGCAGATCATCTGCACAGCTCAATGTGATTTACGTTTTGACAGAGACTTGGGTCTGATCCCAGCAAATGCACTGATGCATATCTCTCTCTTCTCCCCTCTACTCAATGGGTGACATATCACGACAGTTTTTTAAATCAAGCGGAGTATCAACTTCATATAATCTTTGAGAAATAGAAATGCAGCCTTAAATAAATTGTACAATGTTATGCTCTCACCATTGATAACTTCCTGCCTCTTGATTTCATGAGGCCGGAGCCCCGCTAGCACTTCTCGCCCAACCAGCTGCTGCCAGTTTGGGGGGTCGTGCTCAGAGTCTGTTCCCTGGTCGTCTTCACTCGGGACATCGGCTGCACCCAGTCCCTCAAGCCTACAGCAAGAGAAAGGTTAGCATTTCAACTGGCTAACAAAAATGTATCCAGTAAATACCACCCATCTCCTTTTAGATGGATTTAAGTGGCATCCTTACCGTCTTATGGCCTTTGGTGTTCCCTCGTGAGCTCTACAGAAAATGTAAACAGAAGACTCACTGTTAGAAATAAATATTCTCTCTTTAAGGAAGCAAATGTGTTGCTGCTCATGTGACTGTAAATGCACCTGTCACTTTCTCTGTCGTCCTCTTGCAGTTGGTCCAGGCTGTAAAGGTCAAAGTGTGAAGAAGGGTAGGGCAGCCCGTCCAGAGGGTCAGTCTGAAGGCCGTCACTCAGCCTGTGGGGGCCTGAGGTCGGAGTTCCACCTGAGAGATGAGGAACAAGTTAGAAACCATCACTTTCTGTGTCTCTCTTCCACTCATGTTCATTTGAGTTGATCAATAGCTCACCCATGTCAGCGTCTCGGCTCGTGTCTGAGCTGTAGGTGGTGCTGTTTGGGGATGAGGTGTTGACAGACATGGAGTGTGTGAGCTCAGAGCCCTCACTTGATTGGCTGCCTCTTAAACGACCAGTTTCTGTGTGCTCGTTTGCCCCCAGTGAAGGCTGAGACAATTGTTTCTGAGGTCGTGGGCGACCATCCAAGGCTTTACCCACTAGAAATATAAAGAGATGTGTAAACATATTTTCAAATGCTTCAGAAGTAGAGTCATAATTTGGGTGTATCAAAAAGTCTCAACCCACCAGATGCTGCTTCAATGCGGCTGGGCCGTCGCTGAGGACCGAGGATACTGGGAAATCTGGGTTTCTTCACCTTTTCTTCTCCTTCCTTTTCTGTCTTTATGCTTTTCTGTATTTTATTAAAAATACAAGAGAACACAATGTGTCAGGCAGGTGACAAAGGTGGAGAGACCCATAGTGCAGCAATCAATATTGAAATACCTTGATCTTGGGAAGAAAGTTGATCCGGACCCGTTTGGACTCCAGACTGCGAGGTTCCTTGACCCTCACACCAAGGTGCTTCATGTATGTATAGATGACATACTGCATTGTAGTGCTAAATGACAACAAAGTTTCTCAATTATGACCAACAAAACAACGCTATCATTCGAAGTGAACAAGTGTCCATATTGTGGATTGTACCATATGTCATTCTCATACAATTTCTACACAAACCATCTGGACTGTGCTGCGACCATATGGTATTTCAAACTCCACTGTCTGAATCAGACACACGTTTGAATTATTCAGTATAAACATACTGCATAAATTACATGTTTTCTTTGCAACGCTGCCCGAATACTTCATTTGTAAACTGTGGGGATGTAGACAAGGGACTTGGATGACACCAATATGTTGTTTTGTGCTCTTTGTCATAACAGCAAAGACTGAAAACACTGACTGACTGAATTTAGCACATATAATAATTTAAAAGAGACAATCAGTGTAAAATAATACGTTGTGACATGTTAATTATTTTAGATGATAATGAGACAGAATATTATTTATCTAAAAACATATATTGCTACAGTGCCAATTGTCACTGTTTCTGATTGGTCAGCTGGCCCGCTCTTGTGATTGGTCAACTGCTTAGTGTGTGTGAGAATAGTGATCAGATATTAACACTGCTGTAGCCATGGTAACAGTGGCAATAGTTCTGCTTCTGCCATATCAATTTGAGCCAAACAAGCCCCTCGGTGGGCATGTCACATGGTGCAGTATATGTTGTGTTCAGAAGCAGTGTTTTTTGTGGGAAAGAAAGACTCACTTTGCCATGGACTTTGGCCTGTGTAACTCAGAAGAGCTTTTTGGAGCAATGGTAAAATGAAGACACAAAGTGTAATATGGGCCCTAAAATTATACTGGATGCACTTTGAGAGATACTCTTCATGTCAGTCAACCAAATGCGCCATATGACAAGTTTACTCACCATTTCTCTTCCTCTGTGGTCTGAGTAGTTAAGCTAGAGACGATACAAAGAAGAAAAAGTATTTCAGTGGCTGGTAACAGATAGAAATGTGATTGGGTTAGAGAGTATCTGTGCAACCATTACATTTCATTTCAACCAAGCAGCATTTGTCTTGATGTGCGGTATTTGTGTTACGTGACTGTGTGCATGTGCTACTTACAGGATATCCTCTATCTTGGTGATGATGTTTTCAGCATATGAGCGCTCTCGCTCCAGAGTGACCCGGTCTCTGACTCGCTCTTGGTCCAGTCTGGCCAATTCAGCTTCAGCCACGGTTAGACCCATACTGCGCTTCTGCCTACATGTTCCAAAATAATAATGTCGACAATTTCTCAGCAAAAATTGGCAAAACAAAGCGAGAATACTACTTTTTTTGTTTGATGTGGGGCCTAACAAAATTCTCAAATTCAATAATTAATTGGAACATACACAGTGCAGAAAGTACAAATTTAGGGTTGACATGTTTACCTGAAATCCTCAAGGTTCTTCTGGATGTCAGGAAGCAGAGAGTCCTGCAGAGTTTGAACGTGTTGCCTGTTTATTTCCTCTGGGATCAGTTCTGTCCGTCGCCGGTCTGCACACACACACACACACACACACACACACACACACTCAGATACACTGTACACCAAGTACCAACCGATTGTGGCATGTGCATCCTAAATAGGTGATATAAGACTAAGCAATACGTTCCAAACCACCAGATCACTTGATTAGTCAGGAATGTGCATGGCTGAGTGAGTGATCACTTACAGGGACTGTATAATGACGACAAATGGTTTAATTGAGCAACAGAAGCACAAAAGGTGAGCGTAACAAATTAAAAAAAAGACTGAGCAGAGGCAAGCACACACCATGAAATACTTACCAAGATCAGAAGAGATCGATTCAGGGACAGCAACTTTCAAATTCTGTAACAAAAATGAAACTGCTTTATACTAAAAGTTTCAAATTATATAAAATGTCAATGTTAAGGCCAAATATAAAAAACAAAGCATATTTTTTCTTTTTCTTTTCAAACATAGATATTCTTATTTTGGATTTCTTACACTGGGATTGGATATGACTGCTGATGTTTTGGTCTGTTTGTTTATTTCTTCCTTGTATGAATTTTGTTTAATTGGTGTTTCAGTTTTTTGTTCAGGATATAAAGACAATAACAACAGATGTAGAGGCCTGTAGTTTTTTCCAAAATTCAATCCAACAAACAAAAACTACTTACGGCTCCACGGTCTATGAAGAAGGTGTGGAGGTCCATGAACACCCGTCTGGTCTCTTTGGAGTTGGTCTGCTTGTAGAGGTCAGCATAGAGGTAGCACAGCTGAGGACACAGGATTACAACATAAAACACTACAAAAAAACAGTGACCTGTAGTCTGCCAGGCTGCATAAAATAAATATGTGCAAGAGTTTAAACAAGGTGTGAAGGGAGCAGGTCTTACCACAGGAGCAGGGTCGAACTGAGAGATGACATGGTGAAGGAAGGCAGTGAGGTGGGCGGGGCGAGACTTGAGCTGCTCGATGCTGTTAAAGCTGTTACACTGGCCATTTGTCTGAAACAAAGTCAGTACAACAGTTTGCAATCTGACAATAAAAATCTTACTTTAATTGCAGCAACAACAATACTAAACGGAGTCAGGTCTTTTGAAGTATATTCAGCATCTGTCAGCTGTATTTAGAGATAATTTGAAATACATGAGGTTAACCTTGCCCTGCAGTAAAATACCTGTTCCTGGTCTGAATCAAAATAGTCGTCCTCAGCTCCAATGATTTGTGAGACGAGGCGAGAAGACGAGGTGGGGGACAGAGAGTCCTGGGGACAAGACATTCATATGTTGTGAATCATTCTTTCCTATAAAGTTTGGACAATTATAAAATCTGCTAATTAAGTACATATTTTAAGGAGAATTGAACAAAGCCAAAAAAGTACAGTTACCAGGTCAGTGGTGTCCTCTGTGTCTGGGGAGTGGCAGGAGTTGAAGCTGTTCCTGGGTGTGCTCTTTGGGCTGGGGCAGGATGTCTCTCTTGTACACAAAATGTCTGGAGATCCAGGCCCAAATCTGTGAGATAACTGGAGGTGGGATGGAACAAAGCCCCACATTATCATTCAGTCTAAATTTAGCTAAAGAAATAACTGACAAAACTGAACAACTCAAATAATTTATTACTGTAGATGGTCAGCAGTAATTTTGATGCAGAATACAGTAATAGTGGCAAACGATTGTGTTGTAAAGACTTAAAGAACGCATATCTAAGCAGGGCTAATTTAATAAATAATCCAATAATTTACAGAGGCTCTGAGTTAAGGTTTAATGTGAAGCTCAGAGAGAAAATTGAACAGCGTTGTTAAGGTGAAAACTTACAGACGTGATTCTCCAGGACATGTCTGTGCTGTTGTCTCCCTTTGAGGTGAGAGTGTGCTCCGACTCAAACATGCAACCTTCATCTGCATCACCACCTGGAACAGCCTCCTACGGGATTTTTGTAAACAAGACATTTATCATTAATTGTGTGAATCTTATTACAAAAAAAAACAAGATATACAAAGTGTGAAATGAAATGAAAAGAATGAAAAAGCAAGAAGCAAACTGCTGCACGCATGAATTTATCAGTATTTTAAGAGTGTAAATTCATAAAATATAACTTAATTTTAAAATTCAAAGAGCACTTTTGTGTTGATGCACAAAACAAAAGGCTCAGTGAGCAATGTATATAAAATAAGCTGTCACACAGACACAAAAGAGTGGCTTCCCACAGAGAAAGCCTAATCCTTTGATAAGATTAGGATTTAGGTTTGTCTGAAACGGGCCCTAAATGCTTGACACAAAATCATACAAAGACTACTTGCAAGTTGCTGGTAGAACAGTGTCCCTAGATGCCCCCACTTGGTTCAATGTACAAGTTATTTAATTGTAAGGGAGTTATTTGCTTTACCTGTGTTGCCCCAGTGGCCTTGAAGAGCTGACCCTGCAGCTGAGGAATGTGTTTTTTAGCTTCCTGGATGTCTTTCAGTAGTTTGGGGGAGGGGTTCTTGCTGTACTCCTCCTTCATGGCCTAGACAGCAGGGGAAGGGAAATCAAAACAAGGATTCATACATATGTTTACTTTGGCATGGAGTATAGGGATGTTAAAGAAAACCTTATTTGAAAATGACTGCTTCACTAGTTTCCCAACTGTACACATCCTACGATCCTTCTACTCGAACATAATCTCCTATTTACAGACATGATATGAGATGATTCTTTCACTTTCAAATACAGATAATAACTGAAGACACCTTAACAAGGTTAGATATACACGCCTGTGGAATAAAGGGTGCAAAATGACCTTGCAATTTCTGACAACTACAGAGGAAAACAGTATTACAACAAAGAGCAGACAATGAGTGACAGTGATTGCTATGCTAACCTGCAGCTCCTGCTGCTCTTTCGAGAGCATCCTTTGCAAGATATCAACCCTTTGGTTGCAGACACTGCTATTCTCATCCTGCAGGAGAAAAAAGAAAAAAACAAGGCAAATGGAGGAACTGTGAATTAGACTATATGACAATCATTCAGGCAGATTTTAGATCTACATAATCCAGAGTACAGAAAATTCTGAAAATGTGGAAGAAAAGATGAGATACAGAGAAGCCACTCCAAAAATTGGACCATATTTAGAAGGATGAGGAATACAGAGATAAGACATAGACAATCTACAAGATGATGAGAAGAATGACGAAGAAGGAAGGGGTATGTGGAAGTGAGATATAGAAAGAGCGCAACAACATATGTCATTTAGTACCCATGGTGGTTGTGTAGAAGAGAGGCGGTCCTGAGGACTGTAAGGGCGTTCTGATGCTGGGGAGTTTGGAGAGGAAATGCTAACGCCCAACATTTCAGACTCTGCTTCAGACAAAGGGATCTGGGCGAGCCCTGGAGGGCGCCCCAACACTGTGAGGGCCACATAGGAGCCCGCTGAAGAAGGAAAAGTAAGGCATGTGTTTTAATTTAAGATTTATGTATTAAAATGGAGAATTTGCTTAAATAGAAAGACAGCCAAGAAGAACTTACATTTGATTAGCTTCACCACTTCAATGTGGTTAGAATGTGTTACAAGTGTCCCATTGACCTGGAAGACAGTAATGATACAATGATGAGAATTAAGACTGATACAGGAACGACCTTCCATTCTAGGCCCAGATTTCCACATTGATGTCTCACTCCAGCTTCACACACAACAGAAAGAGTAGATGTTGTAATTGACCAGAAGGTGGCAGCACACAGCCTCTGCATTGGCCTTGGACTAGAAAACAGTGAAGCCAACCGTTTTAAGCGGTAGATGAACACAATACCTTGATGATCCTGTCCCCTGTCTGAACACCTGCCCGCATTGCAGCCCCATCTGGCAGACACAGAGGAAAAAGAGCATTAAAACAACAGAGGAGGGCAGGAAGAAACTAAATAAATAGAAGAGGGAAATGTATCGAAGGGAAAACCGAGCGAAAATAAAGCTTTGTGGTGCAATTGTGGACATTTCCCCACGAGTACACCATGTATCCCTGACAGACCAGATGTTGCAGAGTGGCTACTGAAGTGCTATTTTGAAAGACCATAACAGTGGTTATATTACAAGAAGGACCTGTTTCACAGCTCCAACCCAAACAAAGGGATTTAGGCATGAGACAGGTTATTATAAGATTCAGGTCTGACTCTAGAGTCAGCAGCAAGGAGCTAAAGAAGAAACTAAAAACAGTTTTAAGAAAACACTACTTGTGATCATTTGGGGTTTTCAGTTTTGCATTAATGTGGACATTTTTAACTAGTGTTACTGAAATAAGGCCCTAATCTTGTCTTATCAGTCTAAAAGTACAGAACTATAGTTACTGGTAACTTGTGACCAACTGATATTTCTACTTATGATTAGGTGTTTGTTTTCACACTAACCAGGAACTTCGTTTCGATCCATTTACAATGAAATGAAATAAAACAACTTTTGTAAATTATTAAAATGAAACTAAGTAGATTGCTCTTAGTGCTGAGTCATTAACATAGACACAAATGGAGAGCCGTAGAGGAGTAAGTAAACCCTGCCAAGCACTGATGACAGTGCAACTAAAGTTTTCCATCAGTTCCTTCCTTTTTTGTCTCTTTCCACTACTGTACACACACTGTCATGTTTTCTGTGGCCTGATAACAGCCCACATTTAGAGGCAGCAAGTATCCTGTCAAAGTCCCCTCTTTAAAAGACAAAACGATAACTGCAGCTATTAGGAAACTGCTAAGGAGGAAATAAACAGTACATGACTTCAGTACTCTAAGTAGGAGGTGGTGGTAGTCATTGAGTCACAGTTATCCCTCACATCTGTGAAAACAGACTGCTATGGCAGTTTGATGTCAGTGCATGAAACGGGAGCCCACATCTCTATTACAATGGCTTTACACCAAAGTAGAAAGAAAATCAGTCATTGTAGCTTCCTTTTAAGTTTGAGGCTTCTCCTTACCTTCTTTGACAAGCTGCACAAACACCGGGTTGTCACCGCTGACAGTGAGCCCAAAGCCATTTTCATCTTTCTGGATGATTACACATCGCTGGACCAGACCTGCGAGTGAGACATACAGACAGGACAGAAAAAAAACAGTGTCTTCATAAGGACAAGGAGGTCACTAAAGTTTCCTCTTCCATACTGACCAAGAAGATTTGTTTTCCTCCATAACTTCCACTGAAACTGCTTTTAAATTTTTGTTTGCATCCAGTATGGACAATGACCAATAAAGCTTTTTTTATATGTACATTTGCCCATGTGGGTATTATCTTGAAAAAAATGTGAATCTATATATAAGAAGATAACTCATCACCAGTAGTCTAGACGCTGTTGTCAATAAAACAAGAGGCATGTGAAAAACTTCTGGTTGAGATTGGACAGAAACATTTTAAGAGCTTAAAGTTTGCAGTAGATTTTGACATAATATACAGAAAA